GTCTACGACAAAGTCTCTGGCAATGGGACCGTTGTCGACGGGGGCTTTGTTTTGCTTGCGCTTTTTGGGCTGGGGCTCGGGCTCTGACTCGTCCATGGCGTCTTCGAGATCGGGGACCTCGTCGTCGTCGTTGATGGTCATGATAAAGTCATCGTCTTCGTACGCCATTTTCTATATAGTGCAGGTCACCCAGGCACGTGTAGTTTTATATATATGTATATGTGAATATGTGTAGGAGGAGAGGGTGTCGCGGGTTGTGATTAAAGAGAGATGCGTGCGGAGGAGAACACGAGCTCGCTTGGACGTTCTTTGGGACCGACTTGAAGCTGCTTTAACAATGCGCTGGGTGGTGCAGCGCAGCGGCACAAAATTTTCGAGGGGGAAAAAAATACTACACGATTGCCGATCACGCGCTTAATCGGTAAGGATCTGATCAAGAAGCGCACCTGTGACAAGACGCAGCGATTACATTAGCAGAAGCATGTCATTTGTATCTCTCTTTCACTGTCCAGCTCGCTTTGTAATTTATTTTTTATTTGTACCATCGCCTCGCTCTCGAATGCGGCAATTCAGGATATTCCGGCCGTATCAGCCGTTCTTCCGCAAACCAGAGCACCGGGCGCGTGTGTTGGGAAGCCTGCGACAGCTGCTCCGCCTGGCACAGCAGTTCAGCGACCCGGTGGAGCAGACATACCTGCGCTCGTGGATCCGCGAGCGGTTCCACCACAACAAGCGGAATTCAGCGCCCAAAAAGGCACAGCATGATTTAGACGAGGCACAGCGCGCCCTGGCCATGCTCCAGGAGGCGCTGGACGGATCAGTGCCTCAGCAAAAGCACATCAACGACCTGGCATATGGACGCACCGGCTGGCTGAAGTACGTGATGGAGCAGATCATGCAGTACGACCACCCTACAAAGGCATGTCCTTTGATTCGCGATACGCGGCCGCAATCTTCTCAGATCCACCAGCCGCACAAGGCTTACCGCATTCCGCTAGACTTGCGGGCGTTCTCTGTACCGGAGCATCTGATGAAGCGCATACACAAGGAAGACCGAAAAATGCGGCATGTGTGCCTGGAGAAGCGACGGCGCGCCGATGTACTGCGTGGGCGTGAGATTGAGGCGCTGGGAGAGGCGGTTAGCGGGGGCAACGAGTTTCTATGGCAGGCTGGGCTGGTTCCCGGGGCATTTTCCGTGGAACCATCGGTGTTGCGCGGACCATCTTATGTACCGGGCGTGCTGGGTAACCCGGCATGGATCCCGCCCAAGGTAAGTAACCGCATGGATCCGCCGTTTGTCCAGCACGTGCGGGCCTCGAGTGGCTGTGAGTTTCTGCGCATCAATACGCGCAAGCTGCCGCATTGGCAGAGCGCGCGGATAGCCGTATCGTACCAGAAAATAGCCAACCGCGTGCAGCGCCACGAGTTTTATTACTACTTTGTCGACGACCTGCGCTTGGAGGAGGAGTTTGAGGAGCGCCTGGGTGTGCGCGACCGCGGGTACTGGATGTTTGCTCGCAACTACCGCGACTTTTTGCGAGCCAAGGTCAAGACCTTTTCCCTGCAGCCGGATACCCCCGAGATATCCAACCCCATCGTCGAGCTGGAGCTGAAGGAGGGCGAGGACTCGTATCAGCGGCTGCTGGACCATGCGATGGACTTGCAGCACCGCCTTGACTAGTCGGTCTGAGAATAAATCAGCTTGCTTGATTTGCCGCGCTGATCCTGCGCTTTGGGATTAGCGCCTGATCGGGACTTGCTTCTCTTTTCGGTCTGGCCAAAGAACCCTTTGGAATCTTCTGCCCCCGTACGTCTATTATTTTCTCCTGCAGCCCCGATCCAGCTTCGTGGGCTGGGGTGGGCACGCTGCCACTATAAAAGGGGCACCATGGCTGTTTCTCAGCGTCTGTCGACGACATCATCATTGTACATTGGCGCCTGCATATCTAGTGTTGTTTCTATAAACTCTGCTTTTCTTTTTTTTTCTCTCTCTCGTATTCTTTCCACACTCTTTCTAAAAATTATTCACTGCCTTTCTAAGCCATGGTTGTCACTATGCTCAACAGCGAGAACCCCCACGTGTTCTTTGATATCACCATAGGCGATGTGCCTACCGGGCGTATCGTCATGGAGCTGTACATGGACAAGGTTCCCAAGACCGCCGAGAACTTCCGTGCGCTGTGTACTGGCGAAAAGGGCACGGGCAAGTCCGGAAAGCCGCTCTCCTACAAGGGCTGCTCCTTCCACCGCGTGATCAAAGACTTTATGATCCAGGGCGGTGACTTTACTGCCGGCAACGGCACCGGCGGCGAAAGCATCTACGGCGAAAAGTTTGAGGACGAGGCATTCCCCTACAACCACGAGCGCCCGTTCCTTTTGTCCATGGCCAACGCCGGGCCCAACACCAACGGGTCGCAGTTCTTTATCACTACAGTCAAGACGCCGCATCTGGACAACAAGCACGTTGTGTTTGGCCAGGTGCTCAAGGGTCGCTATGTAGTGCGTGCCATCGAGGCGCAGCCGACTGGCGAAAGCGACAAGCCTCTGCAGGCCGTCGTTATTTCCAACTGCGGCGAGCTAAAGCCCGGCGAGGACGACGGCTGCACGCCCGATGACGGGGTGCCCGAGGACCCCGAGGACTATGATATCCCCGCCGACGCCGACGAGATCGCGCCCGAAGTCCTGGTTGAAATTGGGCAGCGCATGAAGACCGAGGGCAACGACGAGTTCAAAAAGGGCAACCTGGATGCCGCCATAGTAAAGTACACCAAGGGGCTGCGCTACCTGCGCGAAATCCCCATCTTCGACAAGGACAACGACCCCGAGGACAAGCTCAGGCCGCAATTCGTGTCACTAAAGGTTCCTATCTTGCTGAACCGGGCCATGTGCTATTTGAAGCAGAACCGCTTTGGCGAAGTGGCCCACGATTGCACCATCATTCTCGAGCTGCAGGACAAGGAGCTCACTGCCAAGGACCGCACCAAGGCTCACTACCGCCGCGGTGTTGCTCGCCGTCACCTGAAGCTTTTGGAAAAGGCTAAAGAAGACTTTGTCGAAGCGAGGAAATTGGACGCCCAGGATAAAGCAATCTCCAATGAGCTCCTCCTTGTTGAACACGCCATCCAAGAGCGCGAAAAGCGCGAAAAACAAATGTACAGCAAGCTGTTTTCTTGAGCAATAAATTTTTTCTTTTAAGTAAACCGCTTTGTGGCATCTAAACAAAAGAAGGCCGCAATTCTTTTGCATGTATTTATAAAGGACGCCTTTGTCTTCACTTTATTAGATGTTCCGCATGATTAATGCCAAGCTTTTTGGATTTTTTGTAGAAAGAATGCGTGGAATTTTTTTGCAAAAAAATTGGTAAAACCCTCTTTATATATTTTTTTTTTAAAAAAAAAAAGAGTGCGGTATTTTTTGGCTAAGGATTGAAAGTGAAAAAACCCGCACACTAAACATGGTTGCTCTGGGCAGCAACTAGCATAAAAGAGCCCACCCACCCGCTCTTCCAATTTTCCTTTTTTTGTTATTTATCTACATTCCTCATTCATTTTCCAATATTCCAACTTTTATAAACCATATATCATACCGCCAATCTTTGCTACCTCTGGAACAACAAACTTGTTTACTGCTTCAATTACTACAAGTGATAACATGGCTTCTAAAGCAATCCTAACCGTTTTTCCCTTAATAAAGTCTTGTAAATGCCAAGAATACAAAGCATATCATTTAGTTCGCGAAGGCACTAAGATAGACGAAGAATTTATGCCAAAAGAAGGCAAAACCCATGTGTACACTCGTCCAAATACAAATATCAAAACAAGTTATACAAAGTTTATAAAAGAAATGAATAATAGCGTCATTGGAATTAACTGTATGGGACTAAAGAAAAAAAATATTTATAATATCGGTTTAACAGCATTATCAGCAGGTTCAAAGGTTAAAGGATCAAAAGTAAGTCAAAGCGTAGTTAATGGAACAAGGATGGCTGTGAATGTTGTAAATAAATTTAAGAAGGGTACAAATTTTATAAAAACTACTACCAACAAATCGAATTCCTCTTCAAATAATTACAATAAGATGTTGGCCAAAGAACCTTCAACATCGAAGAAAGCGACAAACTCCAAACCTACGATTTTAAAGAAGGGTTACAGCGAGAAGGTGTTGGTCGAGTAATGAAATACAAGTGTATGATAAACCGAGAAGTTTAATATACAAATGAACTGTCTACATTTTCAGTTTTTTAATTTTATTGTTGTTTTGGCATTCACTATATATCAATAAATGAATTTATTAAAAAAGGCTGTGTTGTTAGTACACAATCATTTACAAGTTAAAATTCAAAAGGATATAATATTGCATATAGCCGTTTTCTACCACCCAGTAGCGGTATTATTATTAGTAGCAGGGATTCCGAAAAATGTAGTCACCTTTCTGGGCCGTCAGGGGCACGATCACAAAAACGGGGACGATGGGGACGATCGGAACAATCGGAGGGCAAGGATTTATAATCTTAATATGCAATATAGAATATAATTGATAAACTTGTATAATAATAGCGTCTGTGCGTTGTGAGAATAAAGCTAAGGAATACCTGCTGCTGGTTCTTGCTCCGGCACCGTTCTTTTTATAATCGGTAGTCGCGGGCGAAATACGAAGGAGGAACAACCGGTTGCTCTGTCCACCACTACCTCGGTAGTGGGTGCAATAGTGTTTGCGCGGGAATAGCGGCGGGGTGGCGCAGGCGTAGGTAAGTCTCCTTGCGACTCTACCATCGTCCTCCTTGTTCCTGTTTGTCTTGCTTGTCTTGCGTCGTCTTGTAGCTCGTCGTTATTTCTCGGTGTGTCTTGGTCCTCGGTGTTCGGTGGTGTAGATTGATCTCGGCATTCGTTGGCTGTGGTGTTTGGATCACCGGTGGTATCCGCGGCTGGATCAGCTCTGTTGTGTAGGGGCACAACGAAAACCAGTTTTTTCTACTGGCTTATTATTCTGCCAGTGCTGATGCTATCATCGTATAGTGGTTATTACTCCACGTTGTGGCCGTGGCAACCCTGGTTCGATTCCAGGTGATAGCAATTTTGCCATTTTTTGTGGTAAAGGAAAAAGTCTTGTTTAGCTGGGTTTTTTTATAGTGGCTTGCCGATTGCTTCTGTAATGGAGTGCCTAGCCAGGGCGCCTGGTCCCATATGGCACGTGGACGACAGACAATGCATTGCAGCAGGCGATGTCAGCGATCTGTTTACGAGTAAGGGGTTCTAGTGACAGACTGTGCTTTCTCTTGTTAGTAAAAAATTCTTGTGGCAATGCAGACATCGTCGCCGGACACGAGCGAGTTTATGGACTTTTCCGGAAAGGCAGTGGAGTTGCCGCAGAGCGGGTTCCTGGGGACATGCACAGACGTTGATGAGTACGAAAAGGAGTCGCGTATCGGCGAGGGCACATACGGTGTCGTTTACCAGGCATGGCACCGGCGTAGTGGACGAGTGGTAGCGCTGAAGCGCATGCGGGTGAGCATGGACGCGCGGTCGCACGGGCTGCCGCTGTCGAGTCTGCGCGAGATTGTACTGCTCAGGCGTCTACGGCACCCCAACATCGTCCGTGTGTTGGAGATCGCGGTGGGACACAGACTGGACAGCATATTCATGGCGATGGAGGCGTGCGCGTGCGACCTGGGCACGCTGCTGGACGGCAAGGCAGCGGCGTTCACGGCGGGCGAGGTCAAGAGCCTGGTGCACCAGATGCTGTGTGGACTGGAATACTGTCACCGGCGCCAAGTGGTGCACCGCGATCTGAAGCCGCCCAACGTGCTGCTGACGCGCGCAGGAGAGGTCAAGCTCGCAGACTTTGGGATGGCGCGGCTCTTCCATGTGCCGCGGCGACCGATGACGCCGCAGGTCGCGACGCTCTGGTACCGCGCGCCCGAGCTGCTTATGGGGGCGACCGAGTACACGGCGGCAGTGGATCTGTGGTCGGTGGGGTGCGTGCTGGGCGAGCTTTTGGTGCACCGGCCGTTTATGCCGGGCAACACCGAGGCCGAGCAAATGCAGCTCATCGCCGATGTCATTGGCGCACCCAACACCCGTATCTGGCCTGGATTCAGCCAGTTTCCGGGTGCACAGGCGCTGCTGGCGCGGCTGGGCGACCGGCGCTTCAACAACCTGCGGCGTGCCGTGCCTAATGCCAGCAGCAGCGCCATCCTGCTGCTCAATGCGCTGCTGACGTACGACCCGCGCAGGCGCATCGGCGCGCAGCAGGCCCTGGACCACGCGTTCTTTTTCGAGATGCCTGCAGGTAAGCGTTTCTGTGCCCTTTATGGAGCGTGTGTGCACATATGCAATGCGCGGCTGCTGGCTAATTTCTGCTTTGTGTATTTACCTAATCCTTTCTCTCCCTCTCTTTGTAGCTGTGCGCCCGTCGATTGAAGTCAGATGAGCGGCCAAGCGTCCTGGCAAATCCGATGCTGCCTTTTCACATTCCCACGTGATTGCAGTAGGCGGCATTTGGATATGGTTGGTGTGTCATTGTGCGTGCGCATACAATCGTGCTTGCAATACTCACTCATTCCGCGCTGCCTGCGTTTATTTGCATTCTTTGTCCCCGCGACACGCCCTTGCCTTCTTCTTCCTCTCTTCGCTCTACACAACAGCTTTATATTATATACGGCAGTGCTCCCCACCCTCTACATCTTGTTCTGTTCAATCTCTCGCCGTTTTATTTCTTCGCCTGCCATGACAGTGCTGCGTCTCGATAGCTCACCCAGTTCATCCTACGCCCGCCACATCCTGACTGCCGCCAGCACCGCCAGCACCGCCGCATCTTCTGACATGGGGGTACACGAAAAGCCCAGCAAGGAGCTCAGGCTGTCGCAGCTGAGCCGCTACCAGGACAGCTTCGACGCCGACCTCAAGAACAAGCTGGCAACGCTGACGATCTCGCGCGAGGCCTACACCAACGCACTGGAGAACCGCTACGTGTTCCTCAAACACCCGCCCGTGTTCTCACACAAACTGGCGTTCGACGCGCCCATTACCAACCAGAAGAGCAGCGGACGGTGCTGGATCTTTGCCGGGCTCAACATGCTGCGGCACCAGATGATGGAGCACTACAAGCTCGAGGAGCTGGAGCTCTCGCAGCCGTATCTGTTTTTCTACGATAAGCTGGAAAAGTCAAACTGGTTTTTGGAGAACGTGCTCAAGACGCTGGACGAAGATCTGGACGGCCGCGTGGTGCAGTATCTGCTCAAGGACCCGATTGGCGATGGCGGCCAGTGGGACATGTTTGTGGCGCTGATCGACAAGTACGGCGTTGTGCCCAAGGAAGCGTATCCCGAGACCTACCACACGTCGGCGTCGGGCCAGATGGACAGCCTGATTACGTCCAAGCTGCGCGAGTTTGCCAAGCAGCTGCGCAGCGCCCACGCCAAGGGCGTCCACGGGTCTGAGCTGCGCGCACAGAAGAGCGAGATGCTGGAGACCATCCACCGCATCATGGTGATCTCGCTGGGCCAGCCGCCAGCCCGGGTTACCTGGGCGTTCTACGACAAGGACAAAAAGTTCCACGAGTACCGCGATATCACGCCGCTCGAGTTCTACCGCGACCACGTCAAGCAGGATTGCACGCAAATCGTGTCGCTGATCCACGACCCGCGTAACGAGTACATGAAAAAGTACACCGTCAAATACCTGGGTAACGTCGTGGGAGCCGAGGACGTGCACTATATCAACTTGCCCGTGGCCGACATCAAGCGCTATGCCGCCGAGGTCATCAAGTCTGGCAGACCCGTGTGGTTTGGCTGCGACGTTGGCAAGTTCCACGCCCGCAACAAGGGCGTTCTTGACCCCGAGGTCATCGACTACAAGACTGCCTTTGACTTTGACTTTGGATGCACAAAGGCTGAGCGTCTGCAGTACGGCGAGAGCCTGATGACCCATGCCATGGTGCTGAGCGGCGTGCACGTAGAGGACGACAAGACCGTGCGCTGGAGAATCGAAAACAGCTGGGGCGATACCAACGGCATCAAGGGGTTCTTGACCATGACCGATAGCTGGTTCGACGAGTTTGTCTACCAGATCGTGCTCAACAAGACCGACCTGCCCAAGGAGGTCCTGGCCGTGCTTGACCAGGACGCCGTCGTGCTGCCGCCCTGGGACCCCATGGGCGCACTGGCCAAGTAAAGCGAGCCCAAAGCACAGACCCTAGAGCCTCCCCTTGCTTCTCTTGCAAAAACTTCCCCCGGCCAACCTGTTTCTTGTTTTCTCCATATCTTTCGTATTGTTCCACTATTATATACACTCTGTAGTACATTTAATATGGCAGCGGTGGTGGGCAGGGGAGCGATATCCCAGAGATGCTCTAAATGCCTTGCACAGCCAGCCAGTCAGCAGCCCGCGCTTGCATGGAGGCTTGCTGTGTCCTGCTGTGCGTGAGAAATTGCGCAGTCTGCAGGTGCGTACAGCGCTGCTACTGACTAGCATTCCGGCAGCAGTCACCCGGCGTCATTCAGCCGGGCGAAAAAGGCAGAGGGAAACATGGCGTGGGACAGATTCGTGTCTCCCTCCTCTTCCCTGCGTAGCCAAGCTATCCACGGCTCGGACTGTCTTTCATCTGCCTCGCCAAATAAAAAACCACAGGCGCTCAAAAGGGAGAGAGATGCCCCCTGCTTGTCCTACTGCCAACCAAGCAGGCGCTTTTGTGCCTGTTATAGGCAACGAGGTACAGCCCCTCATCATGCGTCCGTCCTCTCTGCCACCAGGGACAAGCCAATCGGGAAGTGCACGCCTTTACTGCAGCTACGCGCCAAATAGTGTGGTTTAGGACCGCGGGTGCTCTTGATCCAGCAAATCGTAACGCGTTCTGCTGCATCTAATTAAATCGCCCATCCGATCACACTCGCTATTTGTTCTTTTTTGGCTCAACCGAAATCGGCATCCCCAAGATGCGCGGCGTTGTTTCGCAGCACTTTCTGCCATTGGAGAGCATAAAGACAAGAGTTTGACTCCAAGCCTCACAGAAATCCTGACAATAAATGAAAGCTGGCTCGGGTTGAGAAACCACACAAAATGAAAACACAAAGGTGTACGCGCATATAAAAACATTCGATACGACATTGCCTTCTTCCTCAGAGGCGGTTCCTTCTTCTCTTCCTTGCTTCTCTATCCTTTTATCCTTTATTCTATTATTATTGTCTATAAGCATGGTTGTCAAGGCAAAGACCGTTGTGGATCCAGAGAAGGACTTTGAGCCTCCCAACTTTACAGTCAAGGAGCTGCGTGATTGCATTCCCAAGCATTGCTTTGAACGCGATACTCTGCGCTCCTTTACATATGTCTTTTACGATCTCTGCGCTATCGCTGCTCTAGCCTATGCTGCCACAAACATCCATATGCTGCCCAGCACTCTACGTGCTCCTGCGTGGATGCTCTACTGGGTCTGCCAGGGCGTCGTTTGCACTGGTATCTGGGTCATTGCTCATGAATGGTACGTATTTTTTGTTTTGAAAATTTTCTCTTCTCGTCCATGTTTCTTTATGCAGATGCAATCAGTTTCAGATGCAACCGTGCTGGTAGACTTTTCAGCCTGTTTTTCACTCGGTTTATGCATAAAGAGTGTGATAATGGAAAAGATGCTTTGGATTTTTTTTTTTCTGATAGCTGATCTTTTTTATCTACAGTGTCGAGTGCATAGCACATCCCTTTTTCCATGCGTATTGTTCTCTCTTTCGCATGCTAATTGTTTTTTTCAGGGGCGAAAAAAGCCATTTCTTTTACTCGGCTCCACCATACGCTCTTTGTTCCCCCCATCAGCAAGAAATGCAGTTGGAGCTAATCAAAAACATTCACGTTTGACAATTCCCAACTACTGTGCCCAGTTGCGCCATATACTGTGGATGGCTTGAAGGTATTTACTAATCTTGATCTGGTTCCTGTCCATGCCATATTGATTCTTTGATTCTGTAGTGGTCACGGCTCGTTCTCTCCCAGCCGTGCAATCAACAACCTCACCGGATGGGTGCTGCACTCATCGTTGCTTGTGCCTTACTACTCGTGGAAGATTTCGCATTCGCAGCACCACAAAA